ATATATATATATATATATATATATATATATATATATATATTGCGCATTACCATCTTGAGAGCATCTTTCGGTACGAAAAGAACAAATCAAAGATGAACAATTGAGGTAATGCAAAATTGTAGCATTACTTTCATACATATAAAATACGCCCATGATGAAAACACTACAAAGACACGAACAGATTGCAGCAATCACATCTGTAGTATTACCGCTCACCACCTAATAACTCAAGGGTTGTGCAAGAATTTGTTTGTTTATTGTTGGAAAGAGCTCGTCGGTAAATATGTTTTCCCAAATTTAAATGTATCTCCCATCATTGCACGTTTGAAGAATGTCAGTGCTGTCCGTCGGTTATGTCAATGTCCTGTCACGCTCGTTTCGCATGTGCTCCAGAGGTGCCCCGTCACATGGGTGCATTGTCAGGTGTCGTGAGGGCATGCCCGTCACGCCAATGCAGTGTATGGAGCAAAGTTTGTAGATTTCGATATTGCAGTTGAATTGATACACTATATTGGTGTATTTTAGTTAGTCGGTTTCGTTTGGGCTGTTTCTTAGAATATAAGTTAGAGATTCTCCCATTGTGACGACAAAATAATTTGCCAGGGTCGCTAAGGAATAGAACTAAGTGTGCAAAATATAATACCCTGTCTTGACATGACTGTTGATAGACAAGGAAAGCGACTTAGAACGACTTAATATCGAAAGCAGGCTAACAGAGGATGGTGCTTCAATAACAATAGTGAACATCCTCAACGTTACGGAATTAGTGTCACAGGGTCATCCCTTAGACGAGCATTTAAGAATTGCTCTGATTGGACAGAATTGCATTCGAAATCGGTACGAATCAGACAGATCTTGGTGAATGGTGGGTTTTCAAATTCCGACTTTGAAAAAGAGTTGCAACGGCTTATCACCAGACACTTTGACAGCCAACCAAGACAAGGCAAACAACCAACGGACCAACTGAATTATCGAAATCAAATGGCATCTGCCTGCAAACATGGCGCCAAAGCTCTACGGAAAATCGCCTAACGACATTTTAAAGACAAGAACGACCACAACACGGACATTATCATCTATCATCGCAGTAAGAAAATCTCTAACTTTTATGTGAGAAACAGCCCACACAAACCCGATAAACTAAAATACACCAATGTAGTATATCAATTCAAATGCAATATCGAAGGCTGCAAACTGCGTTTCATACACTGTATTGGCGTACCAAAACGATACTCACGACGCCTGACAATGCACTTACGTGACGGGACACCTCTGGAGCATATGCGACACGAACACCCCAGAACATTGACACGGTAACAACTAACATTCTTCAGACGTGTAATGACGGAAGACGCCATTCTAGTTTGGGAAAGCATGTTTATTAACGAACACTCTCCAGTTGGTAACAAACAAACAAATTCTTGCACACCCTTGGGTTATTAGGTGGTAGGCAGCAAGTAATATAGATGTGATTGCGGCGACCGCTTCGTGTCTTCGAAGTGTTTTAATGACAAGTGCATTTTAGCCGTATCACAGTAGATAGGAGCTTGTCTTACCACAACTGGGCATGCTTTATTTGTCTTCTCCATACCTAAAGGCGTTCTCACTATATATATATATATATATATATATATATATATATATATATATATAGATGATTGAAATATTTCAATAAATTTAACTACTATAAGAAGGTAGCGCGATGTCACACAAGGAATCCTTTTTGCACTGTTTGCACTGATGTACGGTTTGGCAAAGCCCCGGAAAATTTCGTGATCCCTTGCATGCTACAAAAATACTAGAAATAGGCCAGTCGGCATTGTTTTGGGAACGAATGGGAAAAAGTTTGTTCGATCAACTTTTTATTCTGTTTTATTGTATTTGACAGTGACAATCAAGGTTGAACTGATTGGTCGAATCTAGGAAGATAATGGGTGCTTTTTCACTCCACACCCAAGCATAAAACTAGTTATAAGGCCCGGCAGTAGCCAGTGACCATCAGTTGGGCACATAATCGGCTAGCGGACTAGCTGACGGTGCCGGGTCAGCTCGCTGCGAGACCGAAAACCGGCCAGCCGTGACCGACTCGGATGTGCAGAGGCCATCAAAGTTTGTCCTCTACCAAACAGAGCGTACGTTGTAATCCTAGATGGGGCCCTCATCAAACGGAGCCTGCAACTAGAACCGCATCCCCCAAGCAGGAGTGAAGTGCAGTGCACCAGCAACTCGACTCTCTTCTGCGCTCAACCCCCTCCTCACGTAACCGCGGGACAAGCCGTTTCCCCGGGTCTTCATGCTGCCGTGTAACCGCCAGCCATTGGCTGCGACTCGGAGCCGAGGTCCCTCCTACCCCCCGTCCAATCTACATGGCTAGCGAGGAAATGGCTTAACGCCCGCGCAGCTCCCAAAGCAACGCGATTGTCACTTCCGTACTTGCCTGGCTGCGGCGGGAAGTTGGCTAACTTTTTGGCCGGCGCCGGCGGGCTCGCCGCGGCGACGGCGTCAAGCTGGAGTCTTCGTGATCGACCCTGCTTGTACTCGGCGCGTCTCCGAGGGGGGGGGGGGCCCCCCCCCCCCCCCCCCTCCCCAGAAGGTGGGTATTTTCCACCTTCGCCGTGTGTAGGTTGCAGTGATGCCATTCTGGGTGATTTTTTCAACCCAGAAATATCGCGATTCCGTAATGCATAATTTCCAGATCCCAGGATATGCCAGGATTAGAACAAAACTGTGCAGACCATTCGTTTTAATGGATTGAGATGTGTATCGTTGCCAAAACTATGCATATTACCAATAAGCAAGCCACACTATCAGTTACCAGATACTCACCTGTACCCATCTACGGTCATCGGAAATGGAAACCAACTACCGCAAACCTAAAGGCGATCTTTAGAATCGTTGGCTACGCATTGTTTTAATTACATGTGATATTGTATTAACGCATCCCCAGCTGCTCATAGCCCTTATTTGCTTTTTCAAGCAGCGTTCGGATTTTGTCATTTATCATTACGGCTCTGGAATTTCCATATTTAGGTCACCATGCATCAGTGTTCTGCGCCCGAGCTGTCAACATGCTAAGCCATGCTCAACACACACACTACCGTGTGAACACAATATGCGCACACCAAGCTGAAGCGGCATCACTTTTACCACATTCTCAATTGATAGAACAGTAACGCCAAGCGTTACAATCCAATTCCATAACAAAAAAAGGTTTCTGGCCTTCAACGAATTGTCATGAATGACGATTTTTGAACGCTAATTTGCATTTCACTCTGGGAAATATCGAAATGCTGTGGGACTTAAGAAACTTAAAACCGGGATAGTTTGGTTTACATCATTGTCTGGACAATGATTGGAACTGTGCCCTTAATGATTCATTACATTTACTTCCCCATACATTTGGCATCCATGATGTGTTTTTCTTAATATCACTCACCACCTGTTTTTGGAGAAGTGGCCCAAGTTGAATCTCTAAAACTGAGCATTGAACCAAACCGAACAAGCTGAACAAGCTTAACTGAGCAAAAATCTCCGGCTCTCGCTGCACCTGGAGTCTCAACGGATCGCGTTGGCCTGCAATCCTAGGTTTTCACGCATGCGCTTGAGGAGGTCAGCCTTGCACAGTCCGCTGATCTGTCACCTGATCTGTCACTTGATCTGTCTCTTGTAATGTTTTTAGTTAACTTTTAAAATTGTGTTTTCCAGGAAGGAAATCAAGCTGGATTATGCGCCTTTTTGTTAACATCGGGATGACAAAATTGAGCAAATTCCAATGCCGGAATTGGCCTGGCTAGTCGAGTCCGGGATTCCGAGATCCTTCTCTTAATATTGTCATCCGTGGTTGGTACGCCCATCCCTTGCGGCGGGTGGGTGCCTCCTCCCTCCTCCTCGGCGGATGGGCAGCATCCTCCTTGCGTCGGGTGGGTACTTCATAGATTCATACGCGGCGACAGGTGCCACCCTCTCTCACGGCGGGTGGATGCCACCTTCTCTCGCGGCAGGCGGGTGACTCCTACGCGGCGACAGGTACCACCCTCTCTCACGGCGGTTGGGTGCCTCCTCCGTGGCGGGTGGATGCCACCTTCTCTCGCGGCAGGCGGGTGACTCCTACGCGGCGACAGGTACCACCCTCTCTCGCGGCGGGTGAGTGCCTCCTCCGCGGCGGCAGCGGACGGGACGGGATGACGCCCCAGACAGAGACGCAGCGACGACGAAAGCGCCGGAGTCAAGGCGTAAGAGACGGCCGAGATGTGCACTCGGCCGTCGGGCGGCGGCTCGTTGACATTTAGAGGACGCGACGGAGCGTGAGATGAGTAACGCCTCCTCTTCCCGCCCCCCTCCGGCTCCACTCAGCTGTACCCCCCCCCCCCCCCCCCAGTTCGATGAGTAGCACCGGAGCGGATCTAGTGCAGGCCTGTTCAGTCGGTGTCGGCGTAGCTCCAGTCCGGCCACAGCCCAGCTACGCCCTGGCATGGAATGTGCTTCAGCGCTGTCAGCCTGCAAGTGCACTCCAGGCAAACTCCAGGACCGTGTCGAACTGGACCACGGCGGCTCTCTTCGTGATGTCATTAATGGTAGCCATGCTCCCAGTCGTCAGTGCAGGCCAAAGTCGGCAACCTAGCCATACAGCACGCCTACCAGCAATACCCAGATGAAAGTATTGTCTAATCTGAACTTACAGCGCACTAGTCCGTAGTGTTAAGCCTTTGTGCTTGTTGATTGCGCTTGTAATGGTGCTTAATGCGGCTAGTAACTCAAGAGTTCACTAGCATCGATCCACAGTCGGATCTTGTTGCAGAATGGGATCGCATCACAACGCAGTGACCAGTGACCAGTGCCACGTGTCTGGCTAGTACGATAGCCATAGTTCCGCCATTTTGTTTGATCTGTTTCAGTCTGGTGGCAGTTCAGGTCCTCTCGAGACGCGGAAGGACACAACCGAAGATGATAAGGTGTCGTCCATCCCGTCAGGCTCAGCGCTCTGCTCAAGTAGAAAACGATTCGGAAAACGGTCGTTTATTCAGCGAGTGTACGCGCTGGTCATTATCCGACAGGTAATGTAGCATTTCAACACTCGGCTCAGATCGTCCAACACGAGCCTACATCATCATTGAGCTCACACGCGAACTTTTGACAATGCATCCCATGAATGGAGGAAGAACGCACCAAATGTGACGCTTATACAAACAGGTACCCTCATAAACATATATAAATACCACAAAACAACAGTTGAACCGGGAATGGACCAGTGTCATCTGACACCAGCACCACAAACAGCGGGGCCCCACACCCATCACTAAGCGTGCACGATCCATGCATGACTGTGCACATAAAACAATTTTGGATTCAAACAAACTGGATTCCATACTCCCCCGATAAAGCAGCACGCGTACGAGCATGTGGCAGTCAGGTCTAGCGGGGGAATCAGCCAGGTCTGTCATGCAATAAACGCATAGCTGTCTTATAGGACGTTAGAAATATAAAGCACGCTCGGGTAATGCACACAGGGGTTCGATCTGACAAGTTTCGTAGACAGCATGTGGCAAAATGACTTACCCTTCGTCAGATGAGTAAACACTGAAAAATTGGGATCGGTGGTGGCTGTGATAATGAAAAAGTAAATTCCTGTCGATAAAAATGATTGCAATGGCAGCTTTATGGCTCGGGATTCAGTTTTTATTTCAGTTTTCCGCACCAGATTACATTGCTTTACCATTTTTACGAGTGAATGCGGCACATTGTAGGCAACCCGTTTGCCAACGTGGACCACGCATCGGGCCCCACACCAAATTTCGCTAGATTTAGAGGTCTCTTGTATCCAACTTTGCAGGGCATGTTGCCAGAGCCAGAGGATGACGTTATTTAGTACCGCAGAATATGTTTAAAAGATCGACTTTTGTCCGCTTAAGTCACGTACAGCGGAATACATTTGAGATTTTACAACAGTGCACACAGTGCCATGATCTAGGCAAGTACAAAAGGTCAAGCTGGGTTACTCCGGGGTCAATTAAAGACTTACGTTGAGGTGATCCCCCCCCCCCTCCAGAATGGCGTGATTTTAACAGCGGCACATAACACGCACCTTTGTGCATGGTGTAAGGACTTCGTTTGCCAATTTGGCGACCAACGTCATTGCCTGACCTAATGTGACGCCGGCTTCAGATATCCTTCGGAATTATGTCAAACATTAGTGATATTCATTACATTGCCGTCAGTAAGTTAACTAACAAATAGCACCTCAAGGACAACTAAAACACAAGAAATGTGTCACACAGCACGGCAAAGGTGTCATGCAGAATGGAGAGCGCCGAGCTTCTTCACCTTTACCTCTAAGGCCTGTGAGGACGATGTAATAGATTGATGCCCTCCAGAGCTATTTATGGGTTGAATGAATCCGAGATTAAATCGAATAGGATTGGGTTAACTTAAACGCTAGCCAATACTAAAACATTGAAAAAGAGAGAAAGTTCTAAATGTTGAGTTATGAAATAGTGAACGTGTCCATGCGCTACATTCAACACCTGTCTTCAACTGGATAGGGTATGGTGAAATGGACGGATCATTCCGGGAAATATTTTCGCTGAGAGGGATTGTGAAGGCTCGGCTTAGGGAGTTTGTGCAAAAAGCGCATTTTAGAGCAGACTGGATTCGTGATCGATGGATTGCACTAGAACGAATTCTGAGCAAATCGGTTTATGAAGAGCTACATAGACTTGACGCCGTGTGAAGTGGAAACTTTAACCAAGATGTAGTTAAACTGATAGCGCAAACTGGATAGGCTGGATTTATCGGCGCGGGCCAGTTTCATCTGCGGGAGGCCGAGCCTGGCATCGACGCCTCGTGGGCTGACAAGACGCTGAAACTCAGATACACGGGAGTGAGAGTGAAACGTCATGGACGTTATCTGTTGAAGCAAACTCCTCCAAAGATCACGACCATCAGCACTTCAGAGCCAACGCACAATCAAGATAGCGTGCCGCCGGGGCAAGACTAATACCGTTCCGGCCTCCATGAGTGCATTCCCATTACGGCTTAATAACCCGCTTATCTGCTCTCCTACGGCGCCCCGGTAGCGCCGACCCACACCGGTGGCGGCGTGGCCCATGCAGAGGGCGGGACTTTGCTTGCGACACGCGCCCCCACTGAGGTTAAACTCAGCAGGCGGTGCGGAGCGCACCCACTCACGAGCGTGTCTCGAGCCGAGCGCCCGCGCGCGGCCGTCTCTGATAGAGCCGCACACTGGGCACTGGGTTTGCAAACGACGCCGTGTGCCACGTCGCGTGACCCTCTGGAACTTTCCAGCGTCATTGAGCACCATATGACACCCGCCCGGCTTCGCTGCCGCCCAGTCTCCGTCGACGCTCATAAATGTGAAGCCGTAGTGCTGAGCTCGTCTCTGGGTGACGCCACTATGCTTGCGAATATTTAGTGTCTCAGAGACCGTTTAATTTTTTCCACTTTGGCGAGGTGGCTCAGAGACCTCTGAGCTCCGAGCTGGCGGCGGGCCTCAGAGACTGCTGTGCGGCCCAGGTACCGCCGAGATTCGGTCCCGTCGTACGGTTCAGATGCTGCTCAGATTCTGTCCTTACGTCGGGTTCAGATACTGCTCAGTTCCCGACTGCGGTCGCGCCACTCCGATTCAAACCCTGAGGACAGAGGGGCAGGTTAGGGTCTGGTGGTGCGGCCACGGGCGTGCCACGCATAATGTCGCGCGTTGCTCAGCGTAAACCAAGGGCACCACTGCCACACGCATTCGGAGGAAGGGCTTCGACGTCAACGTATTAGCGCGTCCGATACCTCAGTTGGTTAGGGTGCCGGCGTTCTAACCAACTGAACCAAGAACCAACCAGGGCAGGCCTGCCTTCTGATCTACCCATCAGCGACGAGGTGGGTTAGAGTCGCTTTAGGTGCACGTTATGATAGACAGATATGTCCTGCAGCCAGTGGCTGAGACCGCGTTAAAGGTCAGTTGATGTCAGAGAGCAGGAGGGACCGTGTCAAGCATTGCGGGACATTCCATTTTTGCCATCAAATTCTGTCCTTGACCTGGAATCGGATTCACGATCGGACGATACGGATCACGGCTCACACAACAAACAGCTTTGCATGCGCTCGGATCCTAAAAACATGTATATTCATAGAGTTTGGATTAAATTAACAGTCTGTCACAACGGGAAACAAATTGTAGTCGTTCATGTGCATTAAGGTGGGTTTGGGATATATATATATATATATATATATATATATATATATATATGTATATATATATATATATGCACACATACATACATATAATTAGTATATCTTGCAGAACCTTCTCTTTTACGCATGTTTGATTAAGAATGACCGTTGACTCAGCATTGACGAGCGTTTTTATGCATCGTTCGAGTTTGCGAGCTTTCGACTTAGTGTTATCGTTTAGATCAGAGATAGTGCGTTCCAAATAACTTATATCTCCGTCCATCTGTGCATTTTTATGTTTCAAGATCTCATCTCATCGTCGGCGGTAGTGTTATCTGCAAAACATCTTCCATTACGGAGAAGGGAAATGAAGCATGGCTGATTCAATTCACACCAAAATCCTATTATTACTTTGATACATGTAAAATACTCTATGCATACATAGTGAGAACACCTTTGAGTATGAAGGAGACAAATCTAGTAAGCCCCATTTTCGTAAGACAAACTCCTCTTATTACTGTCATACACATAAAATGTCCCCAAGCACTTCAAAGACACGAAACGATTGTCACAATCACATCTATAGCACTTTCCACCCACCACTTAGTAATTCAAGGGTGTGGGAAAATGTGTTTGTGTGTTAAAGGCAGGAGATAGTTCGTTAATAAATACGCTTTCCCGAATTTGACGGCGTCCTCACTCATTGCACGTCTGAAGAATGCCACTTGTATCGATGTTCTGGGATGTGCGTGTCGCATATACTTCAGAGGTGCACCATCACGTAAATGCATTGTCAGGCGTCGTGAGTGTCGTGGTCACGCCAATATAGTGTGTGGAACGATGTTTGCAGCCTTCGATATTGCATTTGAATTGATACAGTACATTGGCGCATTTTAGTTTGTTGGGTTTGTGTGGGCTGTTTCTCATATGAAAGTAAGAGATTTTCCAGCTACTATGATAGATGACAATGTCTATCTTATATGGTCGTTCTTGTGTTTTACATGTCGAGTGATGATCTTCCGTACAGCCTTGTCGCCATGTTTGTGGGCAGATGCTTTTTTATTTTGGTAATACAGCTGGATGGTTGCTTGCTTGTCTTATCTTGGTTTGTTGTCAAAGTGCCTTGTCATATGTCGTCCAATCAGAGCAATGCTTGAATGCACGTGTAAGGAATGACCCCGTGACGCTAATTTTGTAGCGTCGGGGACACTCACGGAGAGCGTTAAAACATCGCCCTTTGTTAATCTTCTTTCGGTATACGGTCGTTCTAAATCGCTGTCATTAGCCCCGTTTACAGGGGGAATTGAAAATGTTGACGGATTGACATCAAAGCTAGTCACCTGCAGTTATTTTAATAGTTTTCCTGCACCCGCGGTGCTGGTAACGTGGCGCCTTTGAGTCAAGCTGTGCAGCGTATTGCTATCGCACTGAACTAGCTGTAATAAAAACCTTACCTCCCTTCTGGGAAATCCGTGTCAATCTTATGTCCTCCGCTACAACTTAGTAATACTACCGCACACCACAATACCAACAGCAACTATGTCATGGCCGGCGTCACCCTAAACGTGGTGCTTCTGCGGCCTAACCCTCGTGCATACACAGATTCCAGCAACCACCTGACAGCTGAAATTAAACCTGACCAATCAGCGAAGAGCTTTCAAAGATCAAGATCGATAAAAATGGCATATGGAAGCGAGGTCGTTCATCTCGGGACCGCTGGACTACCATATTCGATATGGTAGCTTGGCACAGATTCGTTCCAAGATGCTGTATTCTCAATGCATAGAAATATAGTTCAAGATGTTAAACTGTTGCGCAAGAGAATAACCGAGATCGCCATCATTGGCACTCTTTTGTTTCAGTCTGGCAACCATTTATTTTCCAATGTAACCAGTGCAATTGTCCATCAACGGTCACGTCAAGAAAGGGTATTATACTTTGCACACTTAGTCCTTCTGTGAATTTTAGACCAGACTGCTCTTCAACGTTTTTTTTTTCCTGAGACGTTCTAGGTGGTCAGTGTCCCCAGCCTCCACAAATATATGCTCTACATAGCGACAGTAAATGTCCGGTCTGGTGCTGTCTTTTCTATGTCGTCCTAATATATATATATATATATATATATATATATATATATATATATATAAAGAGGCCCGGGACTCCGCTCACCGAGTCCGGGACTCGTATGACCGAGCCCGGGACTCCTTTGGCCGAGCCCGGGACTCCGCTCACCGGGCCCCGGGACTCCTCTGGCCGAGCCCGGGACTCCACTCACCGAGCCCGGGACTCGCCGCATCCGACCGGGGGCCAGTACTTCGCATCCGCCTCCGACCGGTAGTCCGTCTCCTAATCTCATTGTCACGTCATTCACTGCGGAACTTTAAGCCCCGAGCCACATTCGATTTGGCGGCGAACAACGGGCGAGTACTGCACGCCCTCCGGGGACGCCGTCCCATCACTGGTGTCGACGGTAGAGGCAGACAACACCGTCGATGGAAACGCGACCGCAGGGCTGAACCTCAACGGACGGGCAGCTCCTGACGAGAACGCGTCCAAGTCGGGACGGAATGGCACATTCACAGCTGGGAAGTTAGTACCCTGCGAGAAATCTCTTGCGGCATTTGGAACAAGATGCTTGCACCTGCCCCTCCAACGGCTCTCAGCATATCTCTTGTCCCATCTTAAGGTGGCATAGAAGCTTGCCCTATGTCCTGTAGTCCCCATAAGGCTCTCCGGTGTCAGTTGGCAACCACGATGCATTAAGTACGCGTACTTCTAGCCCTTTGGTTCTGCGTAAGCACAAATTATACAGAACAAGAAGAAAAAGGAAAGCGTTTTCAAAAGTGCTTCTGATTAAAGAAATAACGAAAAAGACACATTAATGCATTGGCGCGCTGCGGGAGACTACAATAACACTGAACAACTGGGTGCTGATTAAACACAGCACACGACCTTCTGCTTTTGTGGTTTTATACTTGGCCTACGCAAGCTAGTCTTCTCGTCTTCATGCAATGAATATGGCAACTGTGATTTGATTGAGGTCATGCGTTGTTCAAAAGACACTTTAAAAACGGATAACGGCGAACAAGTAAGCGCAAATTAGCCCTTAACTTACACATATTTGAACTCCGTGCACCTGGACTTATGTGAAATGTCGCCACACAGTGCCCAAACTTTTTTTAGTACAAATGAGAGTGGTACAATTGATAATACCAACAAGGTATTATCAATTGTAGGAACAAGAAAAGGAACGAACACCAGCCCGCTTTCACGGAACAAATGCTCTGACCATGTAAGCGTGACCCACCGTTCGTTGAGAACAGCCTTACTTCCATATTGTATTTCGATATAGGGCGACCGCCTTGTCTTTGGGCGCCAAATTTCGATAATCCTAAGCATCCTACCAAAATCCACAACCGGAAGAACGACACCCTCCTCATCTCCTCCCACCTCCGCATGTACACCACTCTGTCGCTTTGGCAAGCTCTCATCTGGCAGCCGGACGCCGTGTCCACCCACCGTCGTTTCTGCGCGAGCGGTCGGCGGGTCGCCGGTCGCCGGCGCGACCGCAGTATTTGTTGTTGTTGAGCGCCGGCGTCGCGGCCTCAGGCGGACCGCTCGCCGCTCCGGACGGTGCCGCCGCGGGCGCGGGCTGGCAGAACGACGTCTCCACGCAGGTCCCCGTCTCCTGCCGGCCGGGGGCAGTATGACGTGCGCTGCGGCGATGGACACTCGCTGGCGGGAGTGGGTGTCGCCGGAGCAGCCGGCGGTCCGGCGGGGTGGACGGCTCCGTTTGACGATATGAGAGGCCGTGCGAGCGCAAGTGCCAGAACACTGGATTGATGAAACGCAGGCGTCGACGGCCGAGGTTTTCGAAAAGCACGAAGTGGAGGTCCGCCAAGATACCACATGGGAACGATTCCCATTTCATCTGACAGTGGGCAAGGCCTGGCAGTGGTCAATACGAGCTGTGACAATATGGCTGAAGAGTACCAACCACCCACTGCCGTGGCTGCCAGGCATAGTAAAATGGATCAGGTGGTGTTGAAAGCCGATGCATTCGCCGACTATCCCGACCCTAACCCGCACGCGCGCAATCCGCATGCATGAAGCTGAAAATAGAATGGAGTTGCACTGCATGCCGTTGCGACACTTTGACCTTTAGATAAATACTCTGCTGCGATTTTCGCAGTCCCGTTTGATCAATGATGTGCGTAGAGGAGTTTCAAATAGGTTCGTGAGGTTGAAAGGTGGACTGAAACTGGCGCACTGGCAAACTATCCGTGGCGGTTCATTAAATATTAATAGTGATTTATGTCCCAAGAGCATCAGCCAGGATATGGCTATTGCGTCTTAACGTCGAGCAGGGGATCCGAAAGCTTCGCAGTCTGGGACGGCGCTGCGTCTTCCGAGGCTGCTGAACGCATGGAGTTGAGTGTAAGCATGCTACGGACTAATCCATGGCTAGTGATGCTGTTCCGGCCGGGTACCAACACGATCTGCTTTTCGCGGAGGGAAGCGCTTCTTTCCATCTGCACGACAAGATCCGTGTAAGCGATCCCTACTGGATGTTGTGGAGCCGAATTATCCAAGCGGCACGCACGCAGCAAGATGGCATCCGAAGGTCACGTACGACCATTCCCGGCAGTACACAGTACACTCGCAGACGTCCATTTTGAGCACACGCTGTCGAGGTCCTCAGCCCCGCTGGCGCAGATGTTAATGCGACGCCTCCACCGCCGGTGAGCAAATCCTGTCCAGCAGCCTGGCGCTCCCGGTGAGCCCGGTGAGCGCGCCACTTGACGTATCGGCCAGATCTGATCCGAAATCCCCGGGGTAACATCCTGACATTACAGCGTGATTAGGTATGCAGACGGCTTGCTCCAATATCGCCTAGTAAGAGCAGTTGGTGCATATCAAAACGCAGCCCGCGCCTGATCATAAACCGTGCGGTGCCGACCGCTGGATCGGGGACTGCAGAGGTCCTTCGGACCGGCAGAGCAGCGAGTGTCATCGCTCCCGTCAAGAGTGTCATACGCGCCTACGCATCCGGCGGGATCTCAGCCTCAGCTCAGACTGCTGCGACACAGACTGCTCAGACTGTTGCAGCACACTGTTGGCTCTCGGAGCAGCCAGACGGCACAGTCCGGTACCGCCCACGGACTGCTCCTGAGAGAGCTCTCAAGTTTGCCTCACTCGGGGCGCCATGGGATCCTGTTGGCGTATCGGTGCATCGGGTGAACCATAGGGGGTTGGTCCCAGACACTCATGTTAGTCAGCTGTTGATTCCTATCAGTTTTCAACTCCGGCGTCCTCAGCATTGCGGGAGAGTTATTCATCTTTAGCATGTGGGCCTCTCAACGCACGCAACATAAGTATGTGCCAAGAGCCATTGGTGTAACCAAGCCTCAAACACTACTGGGGTTCAGTTCTGTTCTGGTGTCATTTAGCATGGCCAAAACATAAAAAATAATCCAATCGGCGTAAAAAGGTATTCGGGTTTGAAACTCTCCGTCAGTAACGGCGGTTACGCCCGTGCCAAGCGCTAAAGCGACCGGGAGTACGGCCAACACGCACCGTACGTTAGCTAGTGCTGTGGGTCTGATAGTCGGCAAACATTACTACAAAGGATGAGGTGTTCACGATAGGCTGCACAACATTCATGGAAGTTCGTCTTCTTCACAAGGCATTGATGTACGTGTTGCGGTCTACTTAGCTGTCTGCCTCCCCTGAGCGCGACCCGTTCAGTCGAACAGCCACTGTTTACGGATGACAGTTTAATTTGTCAGAGGTCAATAGGTTATGAGCGATCCGGAACAAATGTTAGTTTGCATGCACCGAGTATGCTTATAGTGGTATCCATAGCCACATGTTTATGTTTTGTGGTCGCAGTAACATTTTAGTCAAATCGCCATTAAGTATAGATTTGAGAAAACGTCTCACGCAGTGGCATCGAAACAGCAGGCAAGTAATCAAACAAAAACATCCTTATCAGAACAGGCACCACCGTTTAAGCAGCATCGTATTCATCCGGTACCACATCAGAAAGCTTATCGGTGCCTTCCCACACGCTACGGTCTGGGACCAGCTGTACTAACCGTACCGCACACCGTCCGACCCGGTCTCAGAGCCCCGTTACGCCGGCCCTCCGTCTAAGATCATGCTCCTCCGCTCCCACCCCAGCCGCACCGCACACCGTCCGACCTCGTCTCAGAGCCCCGCTGCGCCGGCTCTCCGTCTAAGATCACGTTCCTCTGCTCCCACCCCAGCCGCACCACAGCTGCGGGGCTCTGAGCGGCTATGAGACGGCTCTGTCCGACCCCGTCTCAGAGCCAGGCTCCGCCGCCGCTCCGTCCGAGATCGCGTCGCCCCTGCTCCCGCCCCCGCCGGCAGCCGTTTTTACGGCGATGCGAGCAGATGGGCGACGAAAGAACAACGCCTGCCTGATTCCCATTTGCCTCCCGCCTCGTTAGTTTAATTCAGCGGCGGGCGACGGCGCTCGTCGCCGCCGCGGGCGCCGCGCCTCGTCACTGGCGCCTCTCGTGGCGGGGCGCCCGGGCGCCCTCTCGGCGGCTGCATTAGCAGTGCTGAAGCGGGTGCCGCGTCGGACCAGTCGGGTAACGATCTTTGATGTCCTCGATTCCCGCGCTGATTTGGATTTATCGGCGCGCCTCGTTGTTTTGAAGCCGGGGATTATGGGTGGGCCGCCGGGGGGACGCGAGCGACGCTGGCCGGGTCAATGGCGAGCTGGCCGTTTCGCAGCGTCGCCGCTCTCCAAACGGCGGCACTCGGCGATGTCCGGCCGCGCGCGGCCGAGCCGAGCCGGTCCCCAGCCGCAGTATCGCCGCTTGGTTTGCCGTGAGATGTCGGCGCTCGGTCCGCGCGTCTCGGCCGCCGGCCAGCGCGGAGGGCTCCGCACTAGCCCTCGCTGTCTCTCGGCCGAGTCGCAGCGGCGCGGAATGGGCGCACGCAACTGGAACGCAGGCCTGGCGAGCGCTGACGGGCACTGCCGCCGGCGGCGCACCGGCCTCCCGGGGGCGCCCGCTCGCTGCTGCTCCCGGGGGACGCAGCAGCGGGCGGGAGGGCGGGCGCCGCGGCGGGATCGGTCGGTCCGCCTGTCATCCTCCCGGCAGCAGACGGCGGGTGGGCCGGTCAAGCCGGCAAGCGACGGTAGGGACGGGATAAGGGGCTCGCCCCGCGCCGCGTCCGCTCCGCCCGCCTCTCACTTCTGCCGCCAACACGGCCCAAATGCCACCGCCTCTTATGATGGCCCATAAAGTCGAGGACGCCACTGCGCCCCGAATTAAAGAGTGGACGGCGAAATCAGGCGCGTTCAGCGCCACCATGGCGTCAGCATACTGAGCGCGAGTGAAACTGCCCATGTCGGTCTATTGGTGGACGAGCCGTGCCGGTACCTTAATCGACGACTGATATTGGTCCAGTACTGGATCGACCCTGTCAGTTCGCCCCTTTCGGCGTGTATCAGTGCGGTTCCGGAAGGTCGATTTAGGCTTGCTTCCTTAAGTTTCTTGCCGTCAACTTTCTTGTGCTACTTGACTCCTATGATGTACATGCCTGCTAAAGGAATCTGCACGTAAAAGAGTCCCTGCGGACGAGACTGGTCTCGCTCAGTGCGGGTTCCATGCGGCCCGTCCATGAAGGCCCGTACCGCTCAGTTTCTGTAAGGTCGAATATGGTTGTCCATGGCTGTAACGTTCGCATTCGTCCTCTGCAAGCTTCGATTCGACTGGATGCTACACGCACCGTGGTCAATGAAATTTACACGTCGGACAACAGCGTCTTACAAACTAGCCTAAAGGCAGGATTTAGTTCCCAATAAATTAGAAACATGGACGTATTGTTTGTTGCTGCTGCGGTTTGGCCTCGGCCATAACGCAGCGGACTAAAACAATTACCGTGATTAATGGTTCGCTGACCGCATAATTACTTCCATTTGCAATTCATGCATGTTGAAGATCTTACGCCTACCGAAAACTCTGTTTTTCGTTTGTGTCACTATGACGTTTTATTCATCTTGTAACGACCCTGCAAAGATTTGACACGGACCCTGAAGGAGGTGACTATGCTCTCGTGATGCTTCGCAAAAGTAGCACTATTTCAAAAATGACAAGTGGTTTTTGTTGACATTGGAAAGCGGCTAACTGGAAACATAAATTTCAGTTCGGTCAGCAAAAATAATTTTACTTCTACTTAGAAAAATAAAGGCTAGGAGCAGAGAGAAAAAATAAAACGTATTTGGGGAGAGCACAAAAAATATGCTAAACGAATTGGAGGAATGTGTCGGTGCGTTCTGTTCGTGCACCTTGCTCTTATACAATTTGAGAAAAAGTACCGTACCTTCATGGCCGTGATGCTCTTATACGATTTGGGAAGAGGCATCGTACCTTTAAGGCTGTGATAATGCATTATTATAGTATCCTCCGTAATTAAGCTATTACCTTACATGGTCAAATGCCGAGGTGACGTTCTATTTGGTTTCATCAGCAAAGCACGTGTCGCTACACGCCGTTGCAACCGGACAGCCATCGCAGGCGACGGCGGCTTCCTGAGAGATCCTTCCAAGGCAGCGAGGCGGCCACCGTCGGCCCGCTCCCACAGGGCGCGTGATTCAGCAAGTTCCGGGCGAGCTGGCTGCCATTCAGCCTGCTAGACTACCACCAGCGCTAT